ACACACACACACACACACACACACACACACACACACACACACACACAGAGTCCGTTACAGTGAGATACAACTGGAACACAATGCCTTCCCTGTCTGACAGGAAGATAACCATCCCAATGGCAGCAGTGACTCCTCCTATACAGATGGCTTTGCCAAAAGCTCCCCCCCCCACACCGTCTCCCCAGAAACAAAGCTGTTTCCATTTGATTTTGGAAACCCAGAGAGGATGGGTTTTGAAGGACTATAATTTTGCTGGGCTCCTGTCTCCTTTCTACCCGAGGAACCTGGTCACTCACAGGCTGCCCCAAACCGAGGAGAAATGGGGAAGATGTGATTTCAAAGCCTCTTGCCAACACCCACCGTAAAGTAAGACGTGGTGACCTCAGCTCCCCTCAGACACTCAACCCAGGATCTCGGTCTCCATGACTACCATACTCCCAGGGGAGGGTCCTGTCTCATAGAGCCAGGCTCAGGGTTACGGAATTGCAGCATCTCCCCCTTCCCTTGCTGCCCTTTCCCTCCTTTCTCCTTTTCACTAATGAAAAGAGGGAGAACATGGGAACTTAATGAGATGATAAAACAGAAACACCTTAAGAGGGCCAGAAAAAAAAAAAGTAGGTAAAAGCATGCTTGTCGACTCATCCCTTCTCCTCTAGGAAGCTAAATGGATAGTGAGAAATAGCTCTTCCCAGAGGGGCTGGATCCCACACCATGTGGAGGTGGGGCAGGAAATGAGGTATAGGCCTGGGAGCCTTGGGGTAGGGGGTGGGAGGAAAGGGAAATGTTTCCTTGAGAAGGAGAGTTTTCTCGCCTCTGTGGTCCAAATTTTGTGTGTGTGGGTGTGTGCCTGAGCGCGCTTGTGTTTCCTAGCTTGTTCCGAGGTCATTCGTGCTTTTGTTCTGGTCAAATACTCACCCTGCCACTACCCAAGTCTCCAGTTACCCCCCAGGTGAACAGGAACAGGGGCAGCCCCTCTCACCTGCATACTCTTGAGGCAGCATTGGCCTATTAATCACTTTCTGAAAGGCTGCAATCCATTCCCGCTGGTCACCTTCTGTCTCACAGGCAAAGAGGAACTTCCGGTCGGGGGTGACGATGGTGATGCCATGCTGCCAGTGATGGCCCTGGGTGGAAGGGGGAAGGCCCTCAAGAACCGTGTAGCTGTTCTCTTTACTGCCAATGAAAACCTCCCCTCTGGCAAAGGCATCCTGGGGAGGAGAAAATCAGTCTGTCAGCAAGTATTTATGAAAGCATTTATTACTATGTGTCGGGCATTAAGGATAATATCACAATGCATACTCTCAACACATTCTAAGTATATTACTACGTATCTAATGGAGGAGACAAGCACATATGCAACACAAATATAAGGTAAATAAATATAAATATGCACAGTCATTAAATACAGGGTAGTTTGGGAGGGAGGGCACCAGTAATTGTGGGCAGAGACCAGGAAAGCCTTCGTGCTTTTGGAGGCATGCAGGTGGTGCAGTGGATAGAGCGCTGGGCCCAGAGTCAGGAAGACTTGAGTTCAAATCTGACACTAGACACCTACTAGCTGTGTGACCATGGGCGAGTCACTTAACCTCTTTGCTTCAGTCTTCTCCAGTATAAAATGGAAGACATAACAATAGCTACCTCTCAGGATTGTTGCAAGCATCAAATAATATTTGTAAAGTGCTTAGCACAGTGCCTTGCCCATTGCAGGCCCTATAAAAATGCCTTTTCCCTTCCCTTTATGCAGAAGATGGTATTTGAGTTGGGTCTTAAGGCAGACACTCGTCAGCAAGGCATAGCAATGCTGTGCACTGTAGAGCACCCTACTGGGAGTCAGAGGACTTGAGTTCAAATTCCAGCTCTATCAATTACCACCTGGGTGACTGTGAGTAAATTGAGGAACCTCTTTGAGGCTTGGCTTTTTAATCTGTAAAATGAAGGAGGCTGGATTATACTGATTCTAGGGGCTCCCTTCTAACTCTCGATCTATGATCCTACAAACAGCTAGGTGGTACAATGGATCAAGCTCGCCTGGAGTCAGAAAGACCTGAGTTCAAATTTGACCTCAGACACCTACTAGCTGTGTGACCCTGGGCAAATCACTTAACTCTGTCTGCCTCAGTTTCTTCATCTGTAAAATGAACAGGAGAAGGAAACGGCAAACCACTCCAGTATCTTTGCCAAGAAAACCCCAAATGGGGTTGTGAAGAGTTGGATATGTCTGATCAGATTGAACAACAACATGAGCCCATACCTGTTCATGTGCAGTGCTGAGGAGGAGGAACAGTGTTGGCCTGCCAGCCACGAGCCCTGGGTTCCTTTGGAGTCACTAACTGGCCGTGTGCCACTGTAACCCTAAACTTACTCTACCTCTCTAGAGCTCAATGTCCTTCTCTGAAAAACAATACTTTCCCTTCCCACCCACCCCCTGAGATTGTGCTGACAATCAAATGAGGCAATGTAAATGCAAGCACTTTGAGAAGCATAAGTGTGCCCTGATCTCTCTCCTCATCTCTGCCTCCTGGCTTACCTGGCTTCCTCCAAATCTTAGCTAAAATCCCGCTTTTTCTAAGAAGACTCTCCTGATCCCCCTTAACTTGAGCCCTTTCCTTCTGAGATCAACTCTAATGTATCCTGTTATATATATTTTATTTGTACATAGTTCTTTGCAGACTGTTTCTCCCATCAGGCAGAGATTGTCTTTTGCCTTTCTTTGTATCCCCAGAGGCTTAGCACAGTGCCTAGCACATAGCACTTAATAACTGCTGTTGACATTTTACAAAAGTGAAATATAATGTCTGGATAAGGGGCATTATAGTAGAAGCCATATCTAGTCAGGAAGACCTGATTAAAATCCTACCTCTGACCCATTCTAGCTTTGTGAACCTGGGCAGGTGACTCATCCCCTTAGTGGCCACTCAACTCTTGAAGACTGTAAATTACAGACAGGTTAAGTATGCATTGATAGAGGGGGTTTTCATAACAACAGTTCTTTACACCAATGAGGTCTCTGGTCTGAAACAACACCTTTGTACAAGTACCACACTGCATCTTCTCCATAATAGCATTCAATAAGTCAAAGATAACAACAAAGCCTCACATTTTGATAGCACTTTTAAGAATCTACAAAGTACTTTCTTTACATAGTCACTACTTGGTAGTACAGGTATTAATGTTTCTATTTTATACATGAGGAAAGGAAAGCTCAAGATGAGATGACTTGTCTAGGGTCACTCATTTCGGTTTGTAAAATAAGAGGGTTGGACAATATGAATTCTCAGATCCCTTCCAGTTTGATATTCTTTTAAAAATTTAATTTTATTATCATTATTAAAATTAATAAGCATTTTTTCCTCTCTCTTTCACCAGCTCTAACATTCTAAGACCCCAGATTCCAATCTTGCCTCTGCTACCCATTGTGTGGGTGTGACTTAACCTCTCTAGGTTTTATGAAAAATAAAGGGGTTGGATTGAATGACCTTTTAAGGCCCCATCCAGCTTCACACTTCCAATCCTATGAAAGAACCTTGATTTTCCCTAATTGGCAGCTATATTCCAGAGCTAGACAAGACTTAGGGCTGCTTTTCTCCTCTGATAATGGATATTGGAAGTAAAGATGGAGTGGCTGCCACACCATTCTAGAAACTTCAAAAGGTTGGAGTCTCAGACTTGGTCACTGCATTTTTTTTTTTTTTTGGTCAGTTGCTAATTGAGGTTCCTAGGCTACCATCCTGATCAGAAAAAGCTGGAGCTCAGATCCTTATTGGGTGATACCACAGGTAAATGTGGGGGAGGGGGCAAGAGAAGAGAGGTACTAATAGGACTGTAGAAATCACTTAAGTTACTTGCATAAGATATGGCAACTTTGGAACAGGGAGGGAGAAATATCATACATTATGGTTACGGGAATAGGAGAGGCTCTCTGAAATTATCTGGTCTCCCCTGATCCCTATAGTGCTTCCACTGTGGGCCTCCTGAGAGTTTTCTATAACTTATGGACAATGGGGTTCCTGTACAGGACCTGAGACAGGATGGAATAGGGAGGAACAAACAGCCTTCCATATCTAACTGAGCTTGTATATAATGTCCTCGAGACCAAGGATTGTTTTGTTTTATGCATTTGTATTCTAGGTGCCTAGTACAATGCCTGGAACATATTAGGAGCTTAATAAATGTTTACTTGATTATTTTATAATTAGCACCCATCTCTCAGGGTTGTTGTGAGGATCAAATGAGATAATATTTGTAAAGGGTTTAGCACAGTGTCTGGCATATAGCAGGTACTATGTAAATGCTGTTATGAATATTATTGTGTATACTATTATTGTTGAATATAATCATTGCATATATCCTGCATTTACTTATCTGTGAACATACATATTCTCCCAATATAACATAAGCTCTTTGAAAGCAAAGACTACTCACTTTGGTATCTGTATCTCTAGTACTTTGTATATAGTGACTGGCATACTGTAGGCACAGAACAAATGCTTGTAGAATTGCATTGGTTTGACTTAACAACTCCTCCCCATCCTTGGAATGGTCCCAGAGTCCAGAGACCAGTTAGAGAAGTTTATAGAACCTGGAGTTGTTGGGGTCCATACTGAGTTCTGTTGTACAGCAGTGGCCAGTCGGCCACTGAGAAAAATGGTTCCTGCAATGAGAGCTAGCCCTTCTCCCCAACTAGAGGAGAGCCAGAGCATGGAACAAATTTGGAGGTAGAATCCTTGATGAGAAGGCTGTGGGCCATGATAAGCATGGAGACCAGTGGGTGATGAAAATTATCTCAGAACACTGTTCCCACCTTTACCTGAGCCTTGGTTTCCTCATCTATAAAATGGGAATAACAATAGCACAACCACACAGAGTAGTCAGGAGGATCAAATCGGATGAGATGCAGGGGTGGGGACCCTGTGGCCTTGGGGCCACATGTGACCTTCTAGGTCCTTGGGTGAGGTCTTTTGACTGAGTCCAAGTTTTACAGAACTAATCCTTTTATTAAGGGGATTTGTTCTGTGAAGTCTGGATTCCATCAAAGGGTAGCACTTGAGGACCTAGAGGGCCACATGTGGCCTCAAGGCTCAGGTTCCCCACCCCTGAAGCGATGTCAATTGCTTTGTGAACAAATATCAGCTATTACTTTGATGATCTTAGGGTAAGGATTAAAAAGTTCCTGATTAGAAAAAACCACAAAGCATATTCTGGGCCCAATGAGGAGAGAATAGTCCACTTATATAATCCCAACTCAAAGTCATTTGCATAAGATTCTCCTCATTGGTGGAAGCCCAGTACTCACTCAATGCTCCACTTCTGTGGGAAGGGGTGGAGTTGGCCAGAAGGAGAAATAGTGTCACCCAGGAGGAAATTCCCTCAAGTCTCTAGTAATAGCAAGTTGGGGATAGGAACATGAAGGAAATGTCCACTTCTCTACATGCTGGCTTCTTCCTAGGGTCTTTCCCTTCAGAGACCTTTCCTTGAAGAGAATCTGGAATCCAGTGTCTTTTCTCTTGAAGCTAGAAGCCAGAAGACCTAGATTTCTCTTCTCTCAAGCTCTTGCCAACTCTGCCCCTCATGTAGGTATTGGAGCATTGAATAATCAATCTCCATCAATTAGGAGAGTCTCATGCAAATTGGCTATAGGTTATATTTGCTGCCCTGAAGTTTCTCAAGGTTTTTCATAGTACCTAAGGCACAGAAAAATCATGGGGATTGGAGTGACATGGGGGTAAAGAAGGGAATAAGACATATTTTGCTCCTGTCTTTGGGGCATGGAGTAAGACATATATTGACCCCATTTTGGGGGGGGGTGGTGAAGGGAGGGAATAAGACATACCTTGTACCTATTTTGGGGGAAAAAGAGAGGGAGGAAGACATATCCCCTCCATTTTGGGCGGGGGTATAAAGGAGGGAGTAAGACATATTGCCCCCATTTTTTGGAGGGAAGCCAGGACATCACTATTTTTTTGGGGGGGGAAGACATATGTTGCCCTCATTTTTTGAAGGGGAGGTGGTCTTCCTTTTGTTCTCTCACAGTAACAGTTGGAAGTCAGCAAGTCATGCTTGTAGAAATCCTCGGTTTCAAAGGAAGCACTGTAGTATCGGTGCCCTTACCAGAGGGTCTTTGAAATACATGAGCCGCCTGTCATCCATGGTGAACCAGCGTTTCTTGAAGCCTTCAGTTTGCTAAAGAAACAGAAACAAATGATTAAAGCATTGGCCTCAGAGTCAGGAGAACTGGGTTCTAGGTCTAGCCATTCTATTAACTTAATATTGTGACTGTGCGCAAGTTACTTCCCCTCCTCGGGCCTCAGTCTTCTCAAGTATAAAAAGTCAGGGGCTAGGCTAGATGATTGCTAAGGCTTCCTCCAGCTTGGAGATTTTAGGAATCTATGATTCTAAGATATATTTTCTCTCTCCCCCCGCCAGTTCAAAATTAATGAGATTCCCATGAAATTTCAATCTTTTGCTGCCAAATTATTTTCCACTGGAAGTTTTCTAGTCCTGGCTAGTAAGAGAATCACAGAAACTCACAGTTGGAAAGGAACCAAGGGAACATCTAGTCCAGTCCCTACTTGCATAGAAGTCCCCTCTGCAACATACCTGACAAGTAGTTAACCAATATTTGTTGGAAGGCCTCTGGGGAGGAAAGCTTAATGTCCATTGATAAAGTCCATTTTATTTTTTTATAGTTATAATTGTTAGAAGATGGGCAGCTAGGTGGCACAGTGGATAGAACAATAGGCCTGGAGTCAGAAGACTCATCTTCCTCACAAATTTAGCCTCAGATACTTACTTGCTGTGTGACCCTGGGCAAGTCACTTAACCCTGTTTGCCTCAGTTTACTCCACTGTAAAATGATCTGGAGAAGGAAATTGCAAACCATTCCAGTTTCTTTGCCAAGAAAACCTCAAATGGGATCACAAAGGGTTGGACACGGGACTGAAAAAAACCACTCAACAACTAAAAATTGTTAGATCTCTCAAAGGGGATCATGGTCCTCAGGTTTGGGACACTGCCATATCTGAGATGAGTGCTTCAGGAAGACAGCAAGACCTCCCTAATGTTCATAAAAGTTTCTTCTACCACCAAGCCTTGAACTCAGTCATTCACGAAGTGTGGTCATGAGAGAAAAATTAGTCCCAGTTTGGGCCTCCAAAGAGGAAGGGCCAAAGAAGAAACCAGGGCTCCAGGCTGAATCTGTTTTGGATAGTGTACTCCATCTTTTAGAAGGAAGAAAAGGAAATAAGCATTTATTGAGTGCTTACTATGTGCCAGATACTGTGCTATATGCTTTACAACTATCATTTCAATTGATCCTTACAACAACCTTGGGAGGTAGCTGCTATTACGATCTCTATTTTACAGCTGAGGAAACTGAGGCAGACAGAGGTTAAGTGACTTGTTCAGGGTCGCACAGCAGTTACGTGTCTGAGATTGGCTATGAACCCCAATCTCCCTTGTCTCCAGGTCTGGCACTCTATCCACTGTGCCACCTGTCTGCCTCTAATCTAATCACATTTGCCCCAGCAAAAAACAATGAAAGTATCTGATTGTCCTTTGTGGTAGAAAATAGTTAGCAGTAGACCCACCTTTGGTCCTGTTTTCTCCATGTAGCCTTCCTTCAGGTAGTTTCTGGACAGCTTTGGCACGAGCTATAGCCAACAAAATACAGCAGAGAATGCAATGTCAGGAAAACCCAAGAGACAGACCCACCTGATCTTTGGCTTTCTTCCTGCTGACCTCCTTACTAATTCTAGGAGGCTGGGCTCCCCAAGTCCCTTCATCTCCCTTGACTCATGGTTGTATGTGTGTGTTGTAGAGATTTGGTGGGTAGGGTTGTTACTTTTTTGGGGGGGGAGGGAAGTGGGGAAGAGTAAGAAATGGGGGGATGGATTGTTTTGTAATATGTGAACAACTGGCCTTTTTAAAGAAACCACTTGGGTTGCTATCTGGCCAAAGAGGCTCAGGAGGCAGGTGAAATGCCACAGATTGAGTTACTGCTAACATATAGGTTCAGTGTGAGCAGGATTCAAAGACCAGAATGGTTCCCATATGTTGTGGTACATGGAAGAGGACAGCCTTCAGGACAGCACCTGGTGACAGGACATGGGGGACATGAATGCCTGAGTTACAGAGCTAGGCCACAGACTCCCAAGAGGTCCACTGAAAGATTTCCAGGGATCCATGAACTTGGATGAGAAATAAATGAATCTTTATTTTCACCAACCTCCAACTGAAATCGAGCATTTCCTTAAATTATAAATGTAGGCAACAAACCGCAGTATTAGCAATACCTGTGACTTTTGTCACTAATAGAAAATAGAAATATCTTCATATCACATTACGCTTGCGGTAGGTAACTTAAAATAGTTTTTGGTGATCACTCCTTTGAAATTACTCTAGTTGTGCCCACAGCAGCTATACAGCGTGTGGTTGGCCTCTTCCTGTCTACACGATGTATCTCAGCATGATTGGTTTTCCTTTGTATTTTATTTTGTGCATTTCAAAACAATATTCTGAAAAGGGATCACTAGACTTCATTAGTCTATCCATGACACAAAAAAGGAAAGAACTCCTAAGCTTTACCTTTCCAAATATAATTGAAAGCTACTAGAATTAGTTGAGACCTTTGATATGGAGGCTGCAGTCACTGAGAGAACTCTGAAAGACAAGGGGCTGGCCAAGTGTCTTAGCAGCAGTTCAAGTGAGTAGGCTCACCTTGGGGGAGGCCAGCCTTCTGTGGCAGCATTACCTTATTCTCACAGTTATCTGATCCTAACAAAATGGCTTTCTAAGCATCTTAGATTTCCCATCCTGACTGCTCTGCCTCCAGTGTCCCTAATGGGGAGCAAGAAAACAGAGACTGTTGATTCCTCTAAAGTTAATGCCTTCACCTTTCAGATTGCCTTCCATCTATTCCGTATATACCTAGTTATTTATAGGTTGTTTGTACCATTAGAATGTAAGCTTCTTGAGGGCAAGAACTGTTTTCATCTTTCTCTGCATCCCCAGTGCTTGGCATTATGGCTAACATACACAGTTACCAACTGATAAGATTGGAGTGCAGAGTCATGAACATTTCTGGGTATCTCTGGCAGAGAAAGGAAATTTAAGCCTATGGCATGATAGCTGTAGCCAGAATAACTATTAGTCAGCAACCAAATGTGGAGCTTGGTGCCCACAGGCAAGAGGAATAGTCTCTAGCTCTAAACTCTTAAGGTTTCACCTACAGGTTTGGGTCGTGATGTAATCTGATCTGCCCATTTTCTCTTCTGATTTTGACTTCAGTTTTTGTTCCCCTGTATCTAGTCAATTTCTTTTTTCTTCCCTGCTTTTGAACTTTGTCCTCATTTCTTCAGCCTCATGTAAAAAAGGGGGAAAAAAAGATATAAATGGCCCGATTTGCCTTTTTCTTTCTTTCATTTGTTTCATGGAACAAATTTTCTTCTCATTCCAAGATAGCTGTCTACTTCCTGCAGGACTCTCCTATTACTCAATTCAACAAGCATTTATCAAATACCTGACACATGTCAGGCACTGCATTAGGTGTTGTGGACTGGGATTGGGACTGGATATGTGATTTCATGGGGATAGGGAAGTCCCATAGGATGGAACTGGGGGGGGGGGAGGGAAGGAGGAACACAAAGACAAAAATCACACAGTCCCTGACATCAAAGACTATGGGCTGGGGTGGGGGGAGGCAACATGTATAAGTAAATACAAAATATTTGTGGAGTTGTGTATGACTGGGGGGAGGGGTCAGGAAAAGAGATGGCATCTGAGCTGTACTTTGAAAAATGACCTATATTCTTCTAGCCTTCTGGTTGGTAACCCTACTTCAAGTCTCTTTCCCACTTTAATCCATCTCCCCTCAGCTGACAAAGTGATTTTCTAAAGCGCAGGTCTGAACGTGTTACCGACTCCCACTACTCAGGCTCCCTGTTGACTCCAGAATCATAAAATCCTCTATTTGGCATTTAAAGCCTTGTATATCCTGGCCCCTTCCAAGCTTAATAAATGCTTGTTGACTGACTACACTGCAGAGGTGAGGAGGGAGGGCATTCTAGGCATTGGAAACAGCCTGAACATAAACATGGAAATGGAATGTCCTTTAAGTTTCTCCCTGACTTATGGGAAGCACTCTCTCTCTCTCTCTCCCTCTCCCCTTCTCTTTCTCTTCCCCTCTCCCTCCCTTTCTCTCTCCTCCTTTTCTCCCTCCTCCCCTTCTCTGTCTCTCTCTGTCTCTGCCTATCTATTTCTCTCCCCCTCCCTCCTTTTGGCTTTTGGAGATAACCACACTCTCCCAATTTTCCTTCTAAAAACTCACTTTCCTTTGGTGATTCCTTTTTACACCCCATTCCTTAAGGCAGACAGTATGTCTCTTCTTTTCTTCTGCTACACTAACTCACTTGGGAATCTCATTTTCTTCTATGACTTCAACTATTATCTCTTTGCAGACTTCCTTCTTGAGCCAACCCCAGATCAATCTCTCTTGCTGATGATGGGGCATCTCTATCTGGATGTCTACTGGTGCCTCGAACTCAACATGAGAACTGAGATTCTCTTTCTTCCCAAACCTACTTCTCCTTATGATTTCACTATTTCTATTTCCCAAATGGTCTCCTTGGTTCAAAACCTTTTCTTATCTTTGACTCTTTTACTTCCCTTCCTGTCACTTTCTATTATCTTGTCCATTCTACTCCCAAAACTCCTGAATTGGTCCCCTCCTCTCTATTCCCACTGCCACTATCCTAGGGTAATGGATTTGATCAGGGGAGTTGCCTGATCAATCTAGGGAGCTGCCAAACTAATGTCATGAGTTTACAAAATAAGCCTTTGTTTGAAAGGTAAGGGGAAACCCCTTGCCATGGGAGGTAGGGACATGTGCACTTCTGCCATCTTTGAGGAAACAGACAACTTCTGTAACTTTCTAGGGAGGAGTTCCTAATGTTGGGTCCATGGGGCCCTAAGGGGTCTTTAAACAGATTTCAATGGGGCCACATAATCCCTGAAGAGAATCCTATGTTGGAGAAAGAAGATCACCCACATGGCCCCTTCAGCTGAAGGGTGAAAGCTGTATCATACAAAAAGTTTAATTTCTTCTAATCCTTAAGAGCCCAACTTAAATGCCACCTGTTCCATGAAGGGGAGGAAGAGATCTGAACCTCGCCATGCCCTGCTCTTATAGTTGTTTGTCCTTCATTCTCGAATAGGACCATGACAGCCCTGCTATGTTAGTGAATTATTTCGACATGGGTCTGATGTGAAAGGATGTTACTGCTTAGCTTCTTCTTTCTAGGGAAATCTAAACCCTCAGAGATCTCTTTAAAAAGGAACTCACTGGAATATTGGTGTTATTATATATGCATGTGTGTACATATACATATATACATGTATGTGTATATATGTACATATGTATGCATGTATGCGTTTACAGACTTCTGCCTTGTGTCTTCCTCATTTTCTGTGGGTTGAAATACAGGCTGGGCCATCCTTGATCTCCATATTGTCATCTTGTGTATCATAAGGCAGAAAGGAACCTTGTTACCAATATTTGGCGAAATGTAGAGACAAGCTAAACCTAATCTATACTTGGAGACTTTCCTGGAGTTGTTACAGGTAAGGGCAGTGGGCCAAATGAGAGAATATGACCTTACTGGGTCAGCCCAGAGGCTTTGGGGCTCTCATTACCATTATCTTTGGCTACTGTAATAGGCTTCTAAAGGTCTTCTTGTCTTCTCCCTCTTCCCTCCAGTCCAACTCTCATCCTATTGCCTGAAAATTTGTTTTTAAACAAATAGCCATGCCATTCGTCTTCTCAAAAACATTTAGTGGCTACCCACTGTCTATTAAAATTCAGTTTCCTTTGTCTGGCATTCAGCCTTTTCCAAAGTCTAGCCCTTTCCAGTCCTTTACAGTATTATTTCATATTATTCCCTTCTAGATAATCCAGGCCCCAGCCCAATGACTGCTGACGCTAAGAACATACCTTTCCCATTTCCTTGTTTTGCTCACACTGTGTCCTATGCCTGGAATGTTCTCCTTCACCTTCATGTTTTTTAAGGTTAAATTTCTTCTTATAAATAAAAAACACCTTTGAAAGTCTGAGAACTCTAACTGATGCAATGACAAGTCATGATTTCAGATGACTAAAGATGAAGCATGCTACTTACCTCCAGACAGGGGGGATGGATTCAAGCCACAGAATTTTTGGACATGGCCAATGTGAGAATTTGCTTTATTTGACTACGTTTATTTATTACAAAGGTTTTCTTCTCCCTCTCTCTCTCTTTCTCTCTTTCTCTCTCTCTTTTGTTCAGTGGGGAAGGGAAGGTAAAAGGGAGAGAAAATAAATGTTTGTTAATTGAAAATAAAATTAAAAAGTTTAATTCTTGTAGTCCTTATTGTCCATGAAGTCTTGCCTAATTTCTCCGTTTAGGAACAACCTTCCCCCTCAGACCTCTCATGGCACTTTGTTTTATACCTCTTTACTGGCTCATAGCTTTTATATGGTATTATTACATATTATAGTTATTTATGTATCTATGCCTTGGGGCAGCTAGGTATGTAGTGTATAGAGTGCCCCCATTGAAGTCAGAAGGACCTGAGTTCAAATCTACTCTCAGACACTTACTAGCTGAGTGACCCTGGGCAAGTCACTTACTCCTCTTTGCCTCAGTTCTATGCCTTATCTCTGTAAGCTCTTGAGGGCAACATCTTACTTAAACTTTCTGTTTCCTGGGGGCAGTTAGGTGGTGCAGTGGATAGAGCTCCAGCCTTGAAGTCAGGAGGACCTGAGTTCAAATTTGGCCTCAGAGACTTGACACTTACTAGCTGTGTGACCCTGGGCAAGTCACTTAATACCCATTGCCAAAGCAAAAAACAAAAACAAAAAAAACCTTTATGTTTCTTCTAGGTCCTGGTACAGTATATTTACCCAGTAAGTATTAAAAAAAAAACCTTTAATTAAATTTATTAAATTAGATCACTGGGGATAACCACAGGTCTGACAGGCTTACGCCAGCGGGAGTCTGTTTCTCTGCCACTGCTAAGTTTTTTTTTTTTTATTTTTTGGCTAGGCAATTAGGGTTAAGTGACTTGCCCAGGGTCAACAGCTAGTGTCCAGTGTCTGGTCTGAGATTGGATTTGAACTCAGGTCCTCCTGGCTCCAAGGTCAGTGCTCCATCCACTTTGCCACCTAGCTGCCCCCAATGCTAACTTTTTTTTTTTTTTAAGGCACTTGGGGTCAAGTGACTTGCCCAGGGTCACATAGCTAGTGTCAAGTGTTTGGTCTGAGGCCAGATTTGAACTCAAGTCCTCCTGACTTCAAGGCTGGAGCTCAATGCTAAATTTAAAGGACATTGTTGCCTCACCTCCTGAGCTGCTCTTAAGCAGGTTTTTTAAAAAATCAATTTCAGCAAGAATGGAGACTTGTACAAGTCTTCCTCAGAAGACTAAAGTAAGCTTGTTGGTAAAGTCAACTTGAGGGCTGAAGAAATCAGAGTAGTCCTTTTCCAGAGGGTGGGGTAGGGATTGAGACCAGCTGCTGAGTGGATAAGCTTTTAAAAACTAAGTTTTGGTGACAAGCGACTCTGTCTGACTGTAACTGTCAGGAGAGATGAAGATAAAGAAAGAAATAAAAATCTTTATCTAAGTTGCATACCCCAAGTGACAGCTGGTAACCCAACTTCTCCTCATGAAACACTCAAGGGGACACACCTTAATTCTTCTTTATAGTGCTAGAGAAAATTATCCTGGGATATGCATCCAGACATCCCTCAGTACCTGTCCCTAACGTACTGGGAGTTCTCCTTTTGGCTGGAGTGATGTATTAGGGAGAATTAAATGGCAAATAACTAAGAAGTGATTGAATTAGGAATCCTTAACAAGGTAAGTTAAGATATTCCCAATGATATTTGAAAATATTTGACATCTCTAATAATCCAACGGATAGTATTGAAAACAATTTTGAGTTACCACCTCACATCCTTCAAATTGGGAATAAAATATCTAAAAGCAATGAAAGACAATGCTGGTGAGGCTGTGGAGAAAGAGGTACATTCATTCACTGCTGGTAGAAATGTAAACTCGTAGAATCTTTTTGAAGAGTAATTTAGCAGAATCACTCTGGAGAACAATTTGGAACTATGCTCAAAGGGCTAGAAAACTGTGTTTACCCTTTGACCCAGCAACACCACTACTAGGCCTGTATCCCAAAGAGATCAAAGAAAAAGAAAAAGAATCTATATGTACAAAAATATTTAAAGGAGTTCTTTTTTTGTGGTGGCAAATAATTGGAAATCGAGGGGATGTCCATCAATTGGGGAATGGCTGAACAAGTTGTGGCATATGATTGTTGATGGAATACTATTGTGCTATAAGAAATAACAAGCAGGATGGTTTCAGAAAAAAATATGGCAAAACCTATAGGAACTGATGCAAAGGAAGTGAGAAGAACCGGGAGATCATTGTGCACAGTGACAGCAATGTTGTAATGACACTCATCTGTGAAAGATGATACTCTGATCAATACATTGATCCATGACAGTTCCAAAGAACTCATAATGAAAAAATGCTATCCATCTCCAGAGGGAGAACTGATGAACTCTTGAGTGCAAATGGAAGTATAATTTTTCTCACTTTCTTTCTTTTTCTTGCCTTTTTTTTTTAATATGACAGCTAGGTGGCGCAGTGGATCTAGTGTTGGGCTTAGAGTCACAATGACTCCTCTTTCTGAGTTCAAATCTAGCCTCACACACTTACTAGCTGTGTGACTCTGGGTAAGTCACTTAACCCTATTTGCCTCAGTTGCCTCATCTGTAAAATGAACTAGAAAAGGAAATGGAAAACCATTCCGGTATCTTTGCCAAGAAAACCCCACACTGGCTCATGGAGAGTCTGACATGACTGAAATGAATGAACAGCAAACAACAATGGTTAATATGGAAATATGTTTCGTATGATTTCACATTTATAATTCATATCATATTGCTTGCCTTCTCAGTGGGTGGGGAATGGGGTGGAAGGGAGGGACAGAGTTTGGAATGCAAAATTAAAAAAGAAAAGAATACTAAAAATAAATAATAAATTGAAAAAAAATTTAAAGAGTAATTTGGCAGTATGCAGTAAAAGTTACAAAAATAACCTATTACAAAATAATTCCACTGTTGGGTATATGCTCTGAAAAGTTTTGTTTTTTTTTTTGAAAAAGGAACTATCTGTTCAAAGATTTTCATAGCACCCTTATGTATGATTGAAAGAAACTGTAAAAAAAAAAACTAGTGCCCAATTACAGGGGAATGGTTAAATAAATCATGGTACTTGAACATAATGGAATATTATAATGCAATTAATTAAGATGAGGGAATACAAAGGAATCTGGAAAGACCTTTACAAAACGATGCAACGTGAAGAAAGCAGAACTGGAAGAATATGAACAGACAGAATTCTGACAGGGATGTAGAAGAAGGAAGTGAAAGTGTGATAGAATTAATTTAAGAGTAAATAGTCATTAAGCAAGTTTAATTGTTTGAAATGATGTTCTATATTAAGTTTTTGATGAAACTTCTAAAAAAAGATTATTCCCATTGATACATTTTGACAAGATGGAACCAATTCTTGGGTCAAGGAAGGATATTTCTTAATTCATCCACTCTAGCAGTGTCTGAGCTAGCTAGCTACTAAGCAATGACACAATTTTCCTAAGGTTTACATGCCTTTTGGCAGTTGGGGTTGGGGTGGGGGAGGAAAAAAGGTGATTAAAAAAGGGGGTAGTGCTAATGGGAGAACTGGGGCAGCTAGGTGGCGAAGTAGATAGATGGTGGAGACTGGAATCAGGAAGACTCCTGAGTTCAAATCTGACCTCAGATACTTTGCTAGTTATGTGTGACCCTGGGCAAGTCACTTAACCCTGTTTGCCTCATTTGGAGAACGTAGGACCACATCACCGGCTGGAGACACTAAGGTATTGCTACTTCAGTAAAATATGAATCAACTCACATCATTATCGCTGGCCCCAGGAAATGCCACTTGTAAGTAATGAAATCGGGCTGCCCGGATGGCATTGAACCAATCCACAATTTCCTGAGGAGAAGAAAAGAAATCAGGGTAATGAAACAAACATTGTCAGGAGACTGTTCTTGAGAAACTAGATTTGCTATTTCCATCCAGGGACTAGTCAGAACTGTGGACAGAGGAGAAGAAGGCATCGGTCCTAAATGAGAATATGCTTACTGGGAACTAAAAAGCGAAATCCTCCAAACTGGGAAGGTAACTCTACTTCCAGAACCTGAATGCTGGCTTCACTTCCCTTCCTCAAAAGACATTTTCCAGGAGGCTTTGTCTTTAAAGAGGAGCTTATTGCAATCCTTTGGGGTAATTTTCCTGTAAAGGAGTCTGATGAACTGAAGTCTCTGAAATCATCCCATATTATCCTGAACATTTGTGGAGCATGTCACATTGGCAAAATGCTATTTCCAAGTGACTCCTATCAAGGACATTTCCATAACACTTTCCCTCCTTCCCTACCTCCACCCAGGTATTCTTTTCAGGTATTCTTTTTCTTTTCAGGTATTCTTTTCAGGTCCACCATCTTCCACGAATAATTCTGGGACCAACTCCAGACCATCAGAGCCTCTCAGATCATTTGTTGTTATCTAGTCGTTTCTAGTCATGTCCAACTCTTCATGACCCCATTTTGGGGTTTTCTTGGCAGAGATACTGGAGTGGTTTGCCATTTCCCTTTCCAGCTCATTTTTTTTTTTTAGGCAATTGGAGTTAAGTGACTTGCCCAGGGTCACACAGCTATAAGTGTCAAGTGTTTGGTCTGAGGCTGGATTTGAACTCAGATCCTCCTGACTTCAGGTGCTCTATCCACTGCACCACCCAGTTGCCCCTCTCTAGCTCATTTTACAGATGAGGAAACTGAGGCAAACAGGGTAAAATGAATTGCCCAGGGTCACACAGCTAGTAAATATCTGAGGCTAGGTATCTGAACTCAGAAAGATGAGTCTTCCTGATTTCGAGCTCAGTGCTCTATTCACTAGGCCACCTACCTGCTCATATCACACAATGCTTTATTTGATGGATGATAGCCTCAGTCATTTTCTAGTTGTTTACAGTAACACAGGCAGCTAGGTGGCTGTGTTGGACTTGGAGCCAGAAGACCTGAATTCAAACTCTATCTTAGACACTTGCTAGCTATGTGACCCTGGGAAAGTCACTTAATCCTGTGTGCCTCATCTGTAAAATGAGCTGGAGAAGGAAATGGCAAACCACTCCAGTATCTTTGCCAAGAAAACCCCAAGTGGGCTCTTGAAGAGTCAGACTTGATTGAAAATGACCGAACAATATTCAGAGCTTTATGTTTTACAAAGCACTTTAAGAATATTATCTCATTCGATCTCCACAACAACCATGGGAAGTAGGTGCTATTATTATTATTCCCATTTTCACAAATGAGGAAACTAAGGCCAGAGGTTAAACGACTTGTCCAGGATCACACAGCCAGTGAGTGTCTCAGGAAGGATTTGAACTCAGGTTTTCCTGACTCTAGTCCAGTGCTCTGTCCACTGTGCCATCTAGCTGCCTCAACCATAGCATTATATTTTTCTTTCTTCTTTTTTTTTTTTTTTGCGAGGCAATCGGGGTTAAGCACCATCTCTACAACTTATGGTCTCAGAGACTTGCCTAGAACACTGAAAGTTGAAATGACTTGCCCAGGGTCACACACCTAGTGAGTATCATGTGTCTGAGGCTGGATTTGAATACAATAGCATTACAGCACCATCCACAGAACATTTCTCTAAAAACTGTTTGAGTCAAAGACCATTTTTGGTTCTGTGTGGTTCTTTTTGTTTTTAGAAGGAGCCCTGAATCTGGAATCAGGGGACCTGGGTTCAAATCTTATTCTCTTTTTTAAAATTAAATTTTCTTTTTTATTATGAATGTAATCATCAACAAATATTTCAATGTGCAAATAAGAACATGAAAGAGGCTTGAATAGGGAACTGTAGACTCTTGCTACACACAGCTTGCTTTTTAAGAAGTATATATACATATATGGGGCATCTAGATGTCGTGATAGCGTATAGCGTACCAGGCTTGCAGTTAGAAACTCATCTTCCTGAGTTCAAATCTGAACTCAGACACTTTCTAGCTGTATGACCCTGGGCAAGTCCTTTAGCCCTGCTCGCCTCAGTTTCCTCATCTGTAAAATGAGCTGGAGAAGGAAATGGCAAACCACTACAGGATCTTTGCCAAGAAAACACCAAATGGGGTCATGAAGAAGTCGGACACAACTGAAAAACAACTGAACAACATCTACAAGGTAGTAACAAAACTGTCTAGCTTTACTTCTTACATCCTGGGGAGTGTCATGGAAAGTAGGCTAGTTTCAAATGAACCTATCTCTGTTACTTACTAACCTTGTGACTTAGGGCAGGTCAAGTGGACTCAGTTTCCTCATTTGTAAAAGGAGGACAATAAGACCTGTAATGCTTATCTCTCAGTTCTTGCAAAGATCAAATGAGATGATGTATTTGTGAAGCTGAGAAACCTCTGTGTAAAAATTTCAGAGTGAACTGAGGGTTGGACATAGTATATCAGAGGCAACTGTAGGGTAGAAGAAATGGCACTGGGTTTGGAGTCAGCACACCTGGGATTGAATGCCTAGTGATTCACTAGCTGTGTGAAGTTGGGTAAATCACTCAACTATTCTGTGTCTAAATATCCTTAGCTATAAGATGGGGACAATGCTATTTGATACCTTTATTATCAAATGAGACAATATTTGAAAAGCACTGCTTTAGCACAATGTTTGGCAAACAGTAGGCACTTCATAAATGCTTCCCCTCCCCCACCCTTTACCTCACAGAGATGTCACAAAGATGAAATGACATAATGAAAACAATGTGATTTGTAAATATGGAAGTTTGAAATAAATGTCATTGATTCTTAGGATTATTATTATTACATAAAGAGCTAGAACAGGAATCTAGTCAATCTCATGGATATCACGTTATATGGAAATATGGAGAAAGATTTCCAATGAGGCACCATGGCTACAGCATCTCACGAGGGTTTCCATGGGAAATTTGGAAAGCAACCATATTAACTCATGCATAAGTCCCTCCCCCCACCCTAGTATTATTTCTGAAGACTGGAAATCACAACCTGGCAAAATGTTCACACCTGGATGTTCTGGCAGACTGTGTGTGGTTATTCAGCAAAAGCCACTCTTAGAAGAAGCATACTGGTAATGCCCATGGGAGAAATGGCCCTTAACATTTGAGGGCAAGCTGAGCTGAGCAGGGGTCAGGAGCCAATGAGGCCGAGGGTGGCCTATTGTCGAGGGGAGCCAAGGGACACAAGGAGCACATTTAGAAAGAGGGCTGAGGAGAGGTTGCTGGCTTACCCTGTTCTCAGGAGCACCCCCAAAATACAACCATCCTTTGTAACCTGCTCTGGTGGGCTCTATGCCAACGAGCTGAGCCCCAGCTGCTCTGCAGTGCTGCTAATTATTTAAGATAAATGGCTCCTCCTTTTAAAGCCCCTTCAGACTTCTCCTTCCTCCCTTCTTCTCTTTCCTTCCTTCCCTTCCTCCTTCTTTCTTTCTTCCTTCCTCTTCTCTCTTTCTCTCTCTAAATTAGTCTATTTTTACGATGATCTTTATTTTAATTGTTTATGCAATCTCTGGGTTGCCTAGGTGGGGGGGGAGGGGAGGGAGTTTATTTATAAAATCCATTTTGTAGCAGCTGAGAGTTTCCACCTACGCTACAGGGTTACTTCCAGCCATGCAGGAGAGGCTGTAACTGGCACACAGAATTAGGAATTTGTGGGGGTTTGGAGGGAAGCCGGATGGTGTGCAGTGGAGCTCAGCATCAGAATGAGGAGATAATTAATAATTAATTAGATAACATTTATCTAGTACTTAAAGATTTTCCAAGTGCTTCACATATATTATCTCATTAGAGAAGGAGATGTAGATTCTTATCCTGGCTGGCTCTGCAATTAACCAACTGTGTGGTCTCAAGTATGCCACATGCCTTCTGGCCTCAGTTTCCACATTTGTAAAAGGAGGGGTTTGGAGGTCCCTCGCAGGACTCTTACAGGTTTAGTTCAACACTTCCCATCCCCATCCAGCCACCTCATTCAAGAACTCTCTCTATAGCAGGTACAGGTTCTTAACCCTGGGGGCCAATGTGTCCTTAAATAGATTTTAAGGGGACAGCTCTCCACACGGGTGACACTTTCCTACTGGACCCAAAAAGAAATCCCAAAGAGGGAACCCACCTTGGATGATGACTGTCCCTTCAGCCAGTAGGCACAGTGGATAGAGCACTGGAATTGGAATTAGGAACTCCTGAATTCAAATCCTGACTCAGACTAGCTGTATAATCCTCCCTCAGAATCAGTTTCCCTATCTGGGAAAATGGGGATATTAATAGCTCCTACTATTGTGAGGATCAATGAGACGGCATCTATTAAGTGCTTTGCAAACCATAAAATGTCATATAAATGCTCGCTATTATTACAATCAGATGTTAGGTTATACTACACCTCTTCCACAAAGCCCTCTTTGACTAACTTCACCTGGCTCCAGCCTGGCCAACACTTCACTGCTTCAATACCACCTCTCAGGCTCCACAGCATATTTACTTCACTCTTAAGAGAAAAAGTGCCTGCTCCTCTTCTTTGCAGAGGTGGGAGACTGGGTGTGGAACATTGCATACAATGTCAAACTCTGTTGCGTTGGCTAGGTTTTCTTTTTTTTTTTTTTTGGTGAGGCAATGGGGTGAAGTGACTTGCCCAGGGTCATACAGCTAGTATGTGTCTGAGGTTGGATTTGAACTCAAGTCTTCCTGAATCCAGGGCTGGTGCTCTATCTAATGCGCCATCTGGCTGCCCCTTAACATTGTTTGTTTTGTTTTGTTTTTTAGTCTTGTTTTGTTTTGCTAGGCAATGGGGTTAAATGACTTGCCCAGGCTCACACAGCTAGTAAGTGTCAAGTGTGTGAGGCCGGATTTGAACTCAGGTCCTCCTGACTCCACGACCAGGGCTCTATCCACTACACCACCTAGCTGCCCCTAGTTTTGCTAAACTGTTTCCTTACTCCCCGCTTCCCACTCATCCTTTATTTAGTCTCTGTTGTAAGGGTTAGTTTGCCCAGGGGGTAGGGAAGGGATTTTTTTAGAAATGAAGGTGATGTAGAAAGGGGCTGTTGTTCAGTTGTTCAGTCATGCCCATGGTTTTCTTGGCAAAGATACTGGAATGGTTTGCCATTTCCTTCTCCAGTAGATTAAGGCTAACAAGAGGTTAAGTGACTTGCCCAGGGTCACATAGCTAGTAAGTGTCTGAAGCAGATTTGAACTCAGGTCTTCCTAACTGCAGACCCAGTGCTCTATCCACTGAGCCATCTAGCTGCTCTGAAGAAGAAAAAGAAGATATCGATAAATATAAAATATTTACTTAATTCACTCTTGCTTACACAAGTTATGTCCTTGCAGTTATTTTCATATTTTTCCATGTGACTGCAATGTCTAGCTCATTATGGTACAAATCATTCAAGGGCCAGGTCCTATGCTGTCTATTCCTTTTGTAATGCAATGTCAAAAAATGTTAGGCTAGGAAGAGACCTTCCAAAAAACTAGTGCAACCTCCTCATTTTAGAGATGAGGAAACCGAGGCCCAGAAAGGTAAAGACTTGACTAGGGTCATACAGTAAGTCAGGGTTAAAGTCATGTTTATAATACAGTAGTCAGCTTGAGTTTCTTTCCACTTTACTAGGCCTTTTCTGTACTTTTATTCTTGTTCTGAGCTTTGCTTCCCTCCCTCTACCTCAGAGTACACAGCGATGGGAGCTCTACATTAATACCAACAGAGAGGAACTCTTTTAATTTCAGTGAGGTCACTAAATGGTGCAGTGGATAGGCAACAGACCTGAGTCAGGAAGACTTGAGTTCAAATCTAACCTTAGATACTTAGCTATATGACCCTGGGCAATTATTTTCACCTCTCTCAGTCTCAGTTTCCTTATCTGAAAAAAAGGGATAATAATAGCACCTACTCAGGGTTGTGAGGATCAAATAAAATGATATTTGTAAAGTGCTGTGTAAACATAAGGTGCTAGATATATGCTAGTTATTATTATTATTAATCTCTTTGGTTATTTTCCATATTATTGCCTTTAAAGATCTTACCCCATCATATTTTTTTCTAATGAACTTTACTTCTTAGGAAGTGTTAATTCCTGAGAGAAGTTGTGTAGATAGAAGGCGTACCCATGGTTACCCTGTGTCACAAATACCCCCTGCCCTCCCCATGATTGTTCCTCTTTCCATCATCCAAGTCATCTTATCTCTGAGTCCATTTCCCTCCCACCTGGCCCAGGAGGCCCAGCTGCCCCTAAGAGTTCACCTTTGCCATCTCCTGGGTTACATTGTTCACGTAGGTTCAAGCCAGAGAGGAACTCTTTGGAATGAGGCAATTTGTCTAACCCTTGATGGTTGGGAAACCCAAAAGAGAAGTTACAACAGGACTTGCTTCCCCTTCCTTCAATGAATGTTAAACCACAAGAGTGAGATGGGGTTTTTTCCCCAAGTGAAAATCAAGTCACTCAGATTCAGGGAGCAGCCCTCATTCATGTCTGCATCTACTAGGCTCAAACAGGATCCTACCAAATCGCTGGTTTCCTCACCACCCTTACCTTGCCATCTTCATGATACACAAAGATATTCCTGGTGCTGTTATCCTTCAGGTACGTGATCTGGAGGCCATGAGGATTCCCAATTTTGGCTGGCTGGAAGGTGGCATTTAAATGTTCAATCTTCATAATTGCTTTGGGCTCCTTTGCCTAGAAAACAACATCAGATCTAGTTGGTAGCCAGGAAAACACCTCAGAGGATTATCCTGAGGGATACAGTGCTTTCTGAAAAGGGTTCCTTGGTCAGAGTGTGATGCTCACTGCCAATGGCCTCCTTCTCGGCTGCTTCAACGTACTCATTTCACCCCTTACCCAATCCTAGCAATGTTGTCTCCAACTGAATTGTCATCTTCATGCAAAAGCCTCCTTCAAGCCCAAGAAGAAAAGTAAGTTGTCAAATCACTTAGGGCAAAGTCCCTTAGTCCTTAAGAGAGTTTGATGAGACTCTGTCTCATGATCTGCCTCGGCTGGTCTCCAGATGCCACATGGCAAGGGACTCTTAGGAAAGGATGACTTGGGGGGTTGGGGTTGAGAAGATCCTTTTGCTTAAATAGGTCAGAGAAGGGTCTCCTGTACAGGATGGCCCCTCTAGGCAGCTGAGGACTCATTGGTGATACCATTCCCTGCTCCCCGCCTCACCCCTAGCTTCCTACCTCAGCCAGAGACTCTAAAGAACATTGGATCGAAAATCCCCAATAAATTTTCTAAGAGGTATCTGAAGTCACCTAGTCTATAAAGAAGGAGCCCTAGGTCACCTAGGGCAAAACAAAACCCTCCTTTGTGGGTGAATCCTTTGGCCCTGGAGGAGGATAAGAGCAATGGTCAGACAAGAGAATACACCTGCTATGTGCTCCATACTGAGCCAAAGGGCTCTCACGCCTCCCTGCCTGGTGCCTGGTGCTGCTCAGCCCGGAGTCTGTTCTCCTGCCCAGCGCTGCGTTAAGCTGCCAAGTCTCTGGGCTCGATATATCCCTAGGTGGCAGCCTGTCAAAATGTGGTGTGTCTGGCTGTCACTGGAACCTTTGTAGCCGGTTCAGCTTGGTCCATGGGGTGGCAAACTCTTCTCATGTCTACCCAGGGACATGTCACTTAGCTCCTGTCAGTCCATGGGTCAGCGAAGCACATTTTCCACTTGAGTGTTTTTTTTTTTATTATTCTGCCTGTTTCCAGAATAATCCATCAGGCTGGCCATGAGGTTAAACTGATTTGCTTGTACCAATGGCTGAAAATGCCAGACGGGCTCTCAATCTGGTGGCTTTCTGTTGTATAAATGCAACCTCAGTGTGGGTAGAAGAAGACCACAAGTCACCTGGCTCTTTCCTTTTTCTCCCATCTGACTTCTAGTGGGCTCTACCTCTCCTGAAGACCCACCATCCTCCCTGGCCTCCATTCATCTTCTCAACCTCCTGAGGGTGAAGGCTTTCTATTTCTTGCAGAGTCAAGGTTGATGACTTTACAGCAAGTGGTAAATGTAGAATTTATGCAAATACCATTATGATTTATTTTCCTCTACCAGGATTTGGTATAGAATCTATAGAAAAAGCTCACATTTACCATTCTCTTGGCAAAAGGTATGGGATGGGGGCAGGTAGGTGCCGCAGTGGATAGAACACCGGTCCTGATGACTCAGGAGAACCTCAGTTCAAACCCGGCCTCAGACACATAATACTTGCTAGCTGTGTGACCCTGGGCAAGTCACTTAACCCCACTGCCTAGCCAAAAAAAAAAAAAAAAAGAGAGATATGGGACGGGATACAGAATGAGGCATTCATTGCCAGACACGGGCAATGTGTTGGTCTTTTATTTAATATTTTTCTGTGTCAAGTTATAGGGAAGTAGAGGGAAAAAAACCTTCAGTGTAAATGTTTAAGAGAATATAAGGAATATGAGGAGGGAAATCAAGAAAATAAGGAAACCCATAAGTGGAAGAGATAAGAATTTTCTGTGCTAGATGGTCACTAAAGTTCCTGCCAACTCTCAGATTTTGTAAATATGAAGTTATTTGGGAATGTAAAAGGTGAATTTGAGGGCAAGAAAAGGATATGTATGTTATTTATGATGTGATGGTTGGGGTAAGAAATGTCAAACATATTTTTAATAAAGAAAACCTTTAGGTTATGTTTATATCTGGTTGAATGTAATTACATTTTAGGCTTCAGCAAAAGTAAAAAGATGCTGCATGAAAAAGAAAAAAACCTCTCATGTTTATGACTACAGGGTTGACAAAGGCACCACTGTCCTCGATAAAATCCTGTGACATATGCAGGTCATGTGAATCTCACTACCCGTCTTTTAAAGATGAGGGGACCAAGGCTCAAAGCAGTCTGGTGGGTGGCCCATGGTCAGACCCCCAGGAAGCAGAAGGGCCAAGACTTGACTCCATGAACTGATTCCAAGTCCAGCCAAGGAGAAATCGAACAGCCCCATCTCTTAAGGCATCATGCGAACTTGCCGTAATACACAGACCTACTGCTGCCTCTCCTTCTTCTGCCACTCTCAGCATCTGCTCTTTCCCCAGATTTCTGCTGTTCATTAATGTGACAGCTGCTGAGGTGGGGGAGGGCTGGCGCTCAGAGATGAATGCACCCAAGATAAAAGTTGATCTTAATGTAGGGAAAGATTAAAAAAAAAAAAACTTTAAAAAGACCATTCGGTAGGAGGCAACCAGGATTAGCAGTGGCTAGACCTCTGAACCTGGAGTCAGGAAGACCTGAGTTCAAATACAGCCTCAGTGAACTTACTAGCTGTGCAACTCTGGCAAGTCACTTAACTGGCAAGTCTGCCTCAGTTTCCTCCTCTGTAAAATGGACTTAATAACAGCATCTACCTCCCAGGGTTATTGTGAAGATCAAATGAGATGATATTTGAAAGCACTTTGCAAACATTATAAAACAAACAAACAAAATAAGACCACTCAGTGGTTAGTGCCTCTCCTCCAAAATGACCTTACACTTATTTTGTACGTACTTACAGTATATGTGTTGTCTCCCCTGACAGAATGTAGGCTCCCTGAGGTCAGAGATGGATTAATTTTTGTTTTTACACCGCCAGCAAACAGCAGGTGCTCAATAAATGCTTGTTGCTTGAGGTACAGTGTTCCCTGAAACCAATGACTACTCCTAGGCCCTTTACAGGCAATTGTTGTTGTGTCTGACTCTTCATGACCCAGTGGACCATACTGTTCATGCGGTTTTCTTGGCAAAGATACTGGAGTTGTTTGCCATTTCTTTCTCCAGTGGATTAATCCAATGGATTAAGAGGTTAAATGATTTACCCAGGGTCACACAGCTAGCATCTGAGGCCAGATTTGAACTCAAGTCTTCCTGACTCTAGGGGCAATCTAGGTGGTTCAGTGGATAGAGTGCTGGGCCTGGAGTCAGGAAGACTCATCTTCCAGAGTTTAAATCCAGTCTCAGACACTTATTAGCTGTGTGACCCTGGGCAAGTCACTTAACCCTGTTTGCCTCAGTTTCCTCAACTGTAAAATGAATTGGAGAAGGAAATGGCAAACCACTCTAAGCATCTCTGCCAAGAAAACCCCAAATAGGGTCACAAAGAGTTAGACACACTTGAAAAATCACTGAACAACTTTCTGACTCCAGGCCCAGCCATCTGTTCACTGAGCCACCTAGCTCCTTCTTTATAGACTAGGTGACTTCAAATACTTCATGGGAAGTTTACTGGGGATTTTCCATCTGCTGCTCTTTAGAGTCTCTGGCTGAGGTAGGAAGCTAGGGGCAAGGGGAGGGGGAGCAGGGAATGGTATCACCAATGAGTCCTCAGCTGCCTAGAGGGGCCATCCTGTACAGGGGACCCTTCTCTGACCTATTTAAGCAAAAGGATCTTCTCAACCCCAACCCCCCAAGTCATCTTTTCCTAAGAGTCCCTTGCCATGTGGCATCTGGAGACCGGCCGAGGCAGATCATGAGACAGAGTCTCATCAAATGCTTGGTTTGGCAGATTCCTCTGAGCCCTTCTCGTTAGGAGCATTCTGTGTTCTAGCAGAGAACTCTTGTGGATTTAGCTTGGGCTAGATGGTCACTGAGGCCCCTTCCAACTTGAAAGTTCTATGATTCTCCTCCTCTAGATGAGTGGCAGGTGGGGCTGGTTGAGTAATATAGATTGCCCCCAACTCTCTTTTTTTGCCCCCAATCTTATCTAAACAAACTGAGAGTTGCCAGAGTAGAATACACTGGACTTGGAGTCAGGAAGAACTGAGTTCGAATCTCACCTTCTGTACTAACTAGCTGTTATTTTACTTCTCCATGCCTCAGTTTCCTTGTCTATAAAATAAAAGGGTTGACTGTAAGGCTAACCTTTGATGGCTTTTCAGCTCTCAATCCTTGATCCTAGAAAACTAGTAAATATTTGTATAGTGCTTTATAAATATTATCTCATTTAATCCTCAAAACAATTGTGGAATGTAGGTGCTATTATTACTCCCAGTTTATATTTGGGATAACTGGGGCAGACAGAGGTTAAATGATTCACCCAGGGTCACACAGCTAGTGCTTGAGGCAGGATTTGAACTCAGGTCTTCCTGACTCCAGAGCTAGTGCTCTATTCACTTAGACAGATTCTGTGACCTTCTGACCAGAGGAGATAGGGCAGAACTCACCCCTCCCCCTATAAAGGAGAGTCTGAAAAAGAAAGGTATGCAGATTACCAAATGGTATGAATTATGAGTAATGGGTTTAACTAGGAAAGAGACAACTTTAGTCTTCAGGTTAAGGAAAGGTTTCCTTAACAATGAGAACTACCCCAGGGTGGGATGGACTGCCTTCAGAGGTGGTGAGCTCCCCTTCATTGGAGGTTTTCAAGCACCGGCTAGAGGGCAGCTTGTCAGATGTGTTGGAGAATGGATTCAGCCTACTGGATGAAGTGCCTGGAGCATAGTGACAAATATAAGTGGGCCTGGGAACAGCGAGGTTGGGGAGGGTGTCTTTGAGTCTTCTAGCTCAACCTCCATGGTTTATAGATGAGGCAAATGAAGCTGAGAGATTTAAAGGAGAGAAACAAAGTCAAGATTTGGGCCTACACCAATGCCAAAGCCAGAGCTTCTTCCTCTGTCCCAAACTGCCTCTTGTCCACAGTCACCATCATCAGATATCTCACGTGTGCCCACAGGGGCCACTGAGAGGAGGGAGAATTCCAACTGTGAGACACATGTGAGTGAGTGAGCCTGGGAGCCAGTGTGTGGCATACCTGAGTATCGAATACTCATAGGCTCACAGAGTTAGCCTCTTCCAAGGAGAAGGGGGCTTAAAGGTCATTGTATCCAACACCTTCATTTTACAGATGAGGAAACTGAGGTCCAGAGAAGTTATGTTACTTGCCCAGGTTAGCCTGCTGTTTGTTTTCCAAGTTTCCACCTTGAAGAAATTCTATTTATTTATTTATTTTTAAATTTATTATTATTATTATTATTATTATTATTTTAGGCAAATTGGGGTTAAGTGACTTGCCCAGGGTCACACAGCTAGTAAGTATCAAGTGTTTGGTCTGAGGCTGGATTTGAACTTGGGTCCTCCTGACTTCATGGCCGGTGCTCTATCCACTGCACTACCTAGCTGCCCCCTGGAAGGAATTTTAGACAGAAGGATAGCCACTATTCAATGCAGAACAGTGGAAAGAACACTGGATTTGAAGTCAGAGGATCTGGGTTCAAACCCTAACCCTGCCACTTAGTGCCTGTGTGACCTTGGGCAAGTCAGGTCAGGGCCTCAGTTCCTTTATCTGTAAAAAAAAAAAAAGAGAGAGAGAGGGGTTGGGCACAATGACCTCTAAGGTCCCTTCAAAGTCCAAATCTATGATCCTATGATCTGTGAATCCAAGAACTTGGACTTCTGAGAACTGGGATATTCTTTAAATCGTCACCCTCACCACCCCCAGCAGCAAGTAGAAAAGCTTCAGCATTCTGTCTTGTTCTTCTGGACAGAGGCTTTGGCTGAGGGCAAGAGGGGAGGCCTTCAGTTTTAAATTGTTCCTGCTGAAGTGTCTGAGAGGAACTTGGGGCCGAGGAGACCAAGATAATCCCTGACTTTGCAAAAGGAGGAATAGGGACAGCTAGGTGGCGCAGTGGATAGAGTACCAGCTTTGGAGTCAGGAGGACCTGAGTTCAAATCCGACCTTAGACATATAACACTTACTAGCTGTGTGACCCTGGGCAAGTCACTTAACCCCATTGCCCAGCAAAAAACAAAAAACAAAACAAAACAAAAAAAAAAAGAAAAAGGAGGAATGCTTTGTCACAGGCATAAAAGGGACATGCTTTACCACTTCCCAGAATGAATGGTCCACACTACAAAGTATGTTTGCCCAACCCCAAGCCCCCAGACTCCCGTACCCATCCTGGGCTTACGTCATTTTTGTTGAAATATTTCAGCGCCCCTTCTCGTTCGGTCAATACAAACTTTCTGCTTAAGAACTGCCCGTTGTCCCGACCTCGCTTCCAAAGAAATCCTTCTCGGTATCCTATAGGAGGAAGGAGGGAAAACACAGATGGACACACACAATTGGTTACAATTAACCAGTCCTCACCGGAAATCCAACCCACTTAAGACCCCAGATGGCCCAAAAGGTCAGTGGTGGGGGGTGGAGACACTGCTAATTGCAGCCAACACTTTTATAGTGCTTTATACTATTATTGCTGAGTGGTTTTTCAGTTGTGTCCAACTCTTCATGGCCCTATTTGGGATTTTCTTTGCAAAAATACTGGAGTGGTTTGCCATTTCCTTCTTCAGCTCATTTTACAGATGAGGAAACTGAGACAAACAGGGTTGAGTGACTTGCTCAGGGTCACACAGCTAGCAAGTGTCTAAAGCTAGATTTGAACTCAGGAAGATAAGTCTATGCACTCTATCCACTATACCTACCCATAGTGCTTTGTAGTTTACGAATAACTTAAGATACATAAATCTACTTTGAGCCTCCTAATATTCCTGTGAGGTATTATTAGCTCCATTTTGCAGAAAAGGAAACTGAGGCTCAAGGAGTACCATTTAGTGATTTTTTTTCCCATCCCTAAAAGTCACATTCATATGTGTGTGAACTAGAGTTCGAACTCAGGTTCTCAGATTCTAAATCTTCCTAAATCTAAGTCACTTCTCTTGAAATGAGAGGTAATTTTTTTTTAAGGCAATTGGGGTTAAGTGACTTGCCCAGGGTCACACAGCTAGTAAGTGTCAAGTGTTTGGTCTGAGGCCGAATTTGAACTCAGGTCCTCCTGACGTCAGGGCCAGTGCTCTATCCACTGCGCCACCTAGCTGCCCCTGAAAGGTAATTCTTAAATAATTAATTGTGCCATGTGAATGCAACTAAATTGGGCCTGGGAAATTTCCTATCCAGTATTGTCTTCTAAGAGCCTTAACTAGCTAATAATGCTGTAAACATAAGTGCTTCTCAGCTATCACTTAAGAGGAAAAATAACGATGCCATAATTATAGGAAATTCACCAGGCATTAGAAAAAAGGACAAAGTTACACACAAAATAATTACTTTGTTTTTACACTAAGATCAAAACTTTTAAAGAGATAGGTATGAGACAACACAATTTCGTGGCTCAGTTTGACCCAAGATGACATGTGGTCCTTCCTCTGCTTACCCATTCTCCCATTTTGTCTTCTTACCTAGTACTCAAAAGGTAACCACTGGGTAGGAGGTATTGGGGTGCGGCTGAAGTGAGGGCAGGTCAGAACAGGGCAGTGTATCCTCATCAGAGATACCAGGCATCTGGGTGGCCTGGCTGGGCAACTCCCCCAAGGACCAAACAACTGGTCAGAGTTTCTAGGGGGTCCTGGCCTCTGCTGCTCTTCTTTTCCTTTCCCTTTAAACTTGACAAGTATAGATTCCTCGCCTAAGCACCAAGGTAGAGAACTTTCCAAGTGGACCTTCTCTTCCAACATTTTTCTCTCCTACTAAACCACTGGGGGCTGGAGGCTCCCCAAGAATAACATCTGATTTCTAGCAACACATGACCACCACCCAAGTGGAACCAACCCCAGACAGCTAGATAGCCACCACAGGCTGGCTGACTTCTTTGGGGCACCTTTTTTGGGGGGGAGAGTAACGATAAGTCAGTACTAGCCAGGTGGCTCTAAGCTGGATGTGGAAATAGCTTCATTATCATTTACCTTTCTAATTCTGGTGCATGTTGTGTGTGGGCTAAAGAGTAGCGTGACACAACCCCAGGACAAAGACCCCTCAGCCCCATGAACCGCAATGATAATAGAACCAACCCTCAATGTTAACTGAGCCACAGTCACATGGCTCCTCCCAGAGCTGGGCTTCTTCATTTGGAGGCTGTAAACTTTTTTTTTTTAATATTGTGACAACTTTATTTTTATTTTTTTTAACAAGTATTTATTGATATTTTGTGTCTTACATCCTCATAGGGATCCCCAATATACCTCCTTTTCTCCCTTCCAGAGAGTCATCCCATATAACCAATAGCATTTTTTTGAGGGGAAAATTAATTAGCACAACTGATGGATACACTGAAAAAGTCCAAAAGCAGGTTCAATGTGTAACACCTGTGGACCTTCCACCTCCCTGAAGGGGTAGGTTGGGGGTGACTTCTCCTACCTCTTCATTAAGTCCTGCTTGAGCTTTACAAATTTTGTGACATCCCACTTCTGATTGTTTTGATGTGTGGCTGTTCTTTCCATTTCATTGTGGTAGTTACTGGGTATATCATTTTCTTACCTCTGCTGAATTCATATCAGTTCACGTGATAGCTTTACTCCAATATAATCGGTTTCCTCTGTAACCTGTACATTTTAGTTTATGTATTTTAAAATGTTCTTCTGAGGAATCTATAGACTCCTCAAAAACAGTTAAGAATCCCTGTCTTAGAGTAAGCTTCAACATCTCTCCTGCACTCATTCTACCTCACCATATGCTCTGCTTGCCACCTTGTGTAGGCTGGCTTGATTCAAGATATAGGCAATGTGGTTCAGTGCGAAGAGGTCTGGATTTGAAATCAAGGCTACCTGGGTTCAAATTCTGATGCTGTCACTCTCTTTGTGACCTTGGGAAAAATCAATACCTTCTCTGGGCCTCTGTTTCCTCATCTGTAAAAGTAGTGTCAAAGATGTAAAAGATGATGTCAAAGGCCCCTTCCAACTCTAAGCCCAAGATCCTTCTCCCTAGCTGGCGCTACCAAATATCCTAATAGGCACTATGGTGCAAACATCTTAATCTAGCTGTTTCTTGCAGTAAGAGGATCTGCTGTCTCAGTTCAATTCAGCGGTTTTCCTGCAAAAATCTCTAGGGGAACTTTCAGTGAGATGGGAAAGCCTCTACCTGTGCCCTCCTGTTTCCATACCCTGTTCTTTTTTTTTTTTTTGCTTTTTGGTGAGGCAATTGGGGTTAAGTGACTTGCCCAGAGTCACATAGCTAGTAAGTGTCAAGTGTCTGAGGTCACATTTGAACTCAGGCCCTTCTGACTCCAAGGCTAGAGCTCTATCCACTGCACCACCTACCTGCCCCCTGCCCCTAATCCATACCCTGTTCTTCCTACTTCACTAACAGTCACTAGTGACCTGTCCTGGCCCACCCCAAGACCCTCCTTAGAAAATGCAACTCCCCACTGAATCCACCAATGTCCCCAAACCCCATGGCAAGAACACTCCAACAGACAATTCTCCAGACGGTAGCTGAGCCAATTTAGCCCACATCAGCTACAGCCCCCTGGCAACAGAACTAGGGGATCTATTAGCATATTCACTAATGTGCTAATCTGAAGCCCAGACATTTATTACAACTGCTCCTAGGGAGAAATAGAGCTGGCTCATCTCATACTCTGATATACCCATCCTGAAGTGCAGGGGGGCAACTAAAGAGGAGCTGAGGATGCTGTAGGGAAGAGGGAAGGGATGGGGAGCAGCCCAAGAGATGAAAATTATGTGGAGTGCTAATGGGTTTTCCCCTCCCCCAAATTTCTATACCTATATACTTTTTTTCTTATTTAATATTTTATTTTTTCCACATTACATGTAAAAAGATTCAAGTTTTTTTTTTCAAATTTTGAGTTCCCAATCCTCTCCCTCCCTCTCCCCACTGAGAAGGCAAGCAATTTGACATAGGTTATACATGTGCAGTCATGAAAAACACATTTCCATGTAAGTCATTCTGTGAAAGAAAACACAGACAAAAAAACTCCAAGAAAAATAAAGAAAGTAAAGAAAAAGTATCTTTGATCTGCATTCAGGCTCCATCAGTTCTTTCTCTGGAGATGGACAGCACCTTTTATCATAAGTCCTACAGAATTGTCTTGGATCATTGTATTGCTGAGAATAGCTAAGTTACTCATAGTAGATCATCATACAATACTGCTGTTACTGTGTACAATTTTCTCCTGGTTCTGCTCATTTCACTTTGCACCAGTTCTTATAAGTCTTTCTATGTTTTTCTGAGAGCATCCTGCTCATCATTTCTTAAAGCAAAATAGTATTCCATCACAATCACATACAACAATTTGTTCAGTCATTCCCTAATTGATGAACATTCCTTCAATTTCCAATTCTTTGCCACACTGAAAGAGTTGCTAGAAATATCTTTGTACACATAGGTCCTTTTCCGTTTTGTTTTTTTTTAAATCTCTTTGGGTTACAGACATAGTAGAGTTATTGCTTGGTCAAAGGGTATGCATAGTTTTATAGCCCTTTGGGCATAGTTCCAAATTGCTCTCCAGAATGGTTGAATCAGTATACAACTTCACTAATAGTACATTAGTGTTTTAATACCTATGTCCTTTCAAGTACACCTTCCCTGCAGAGCATGCTCCATGACTTATCTGTTCCATAACTCTGGCACATGCAGGGCCCAAGCAAGTATTTTAGTCAGAGTGGGGGGAACTGGCAGACCCCAGAGAGTGACCAGGTGAAGAGGAGAAGAGAACAGGACAGGGGATAGGTGGGAACATCTGAATAGTGGGAAATTGAGAAAGCCTTTAATAATTGTCTAATGGGTGTTTCTGCAACAATTTTGTCATTAATCCCCTTCCCTAGTGTAGAGAGGTCACAACGAATACTCAAATCAATAATCACTGACTGGATACCTACTATATACTCAGCCCTGTCTGAATGCTGGGAGGATGCTTCAGGGAGCTTACAATCTCACTGAGAAAACTAGGCAGCTAGGTGGAGCAGACACAGCACAGGACTTGGAAGCCAGAAGAACTGAGTTCAAATTTTGCCTCAGACACTTAGTAGCTGTGTGATTCTGGAGAAGCCATTTAATCTCTGTCCACCTCAATTTCCTCACCTGGAAAATGGGGCTAATAATCAGATCAGAGCACTTACCTCCCAGGGTAGTTGTGAGGTTCAAATGAGATAATATTTGTAAAGAGCTTTGTAAGTTTTGCAAATCTGAAAATGTCCTATAAATTCTATTATTATTATTATTATTATTATTATAACAAGACATATGGTGAGGAGTGAGGAAATGTGAGCAATGAAGCTAATGCTTCATTG